CCTGGGTGTGGGTTGTGGCATTTCAGGGCTCCTGTGTCAGAAGCAACTAAAACCTTACCTCCAACGACCACCCCCTTGCCGCCCACCAGGGTGATCTATATGTGAATAGATATTTCTCCCTTCTTGTTAGCCTTACTTGCTCATCTATCTTAAAGGGAAAAGTAGGTTCTCTGTGTGCTCCCTTACAGTATTAGTTAGCATTTCTGGTTATTCAGGGTGGGTCATGGACCCAAAGACCCTAATATAGCTAGCATCTAGGAGGGGACTTTACCCAGAATCCACAAAGTTGTTGGGACCGTTTCTGTTGCTTTCCATGAAACAGCTTCATCTTTATTCCAAAAGAAACCCTTTACTCCCCGGCCTACCGCAGGGGTAGAAGATGCTACGAGACCCAGAGAGTGTATGTTCATAGAGCAGCCATATGCAGAAACCATCCTCTTTAGGTCCCCTGTCAATTTCCAGAAGACTCCTAATTGTCCAGCTTAGACCAAGTAAGTGTCCTCAGGACAGAGAGCTGTGATGGATGAAGGGGACTGCATTTTATAGACCTGTCTGGGGGCTCCCTGGCCTATATGTGGGAGGGGAAGGGTTCAGTTACCAGATAAGGGAGTCTGAGCTTCTGTAGCTGGGTAAGCATCCTCAAAAAGGACCTGCTACATTAGCCCTTTATTTGTCTGTATTTACAGACTGCCTACTGGTTTGGCATTATTTGGGATAATGGTGCTAGAGCCATGAGCAAGACGAAGTCCCCGCCCTCGTGCCCTTGGCCGTCCTCTATCTTGTTTGCATTTCCATTTTGTAGTAGGGAAGCTTAGTGCTTGTCCATTTGCTTACTCTTGTTTCTCTTTATCCTTTTTACTTTGGTTTCTTTCTCAACAGATATTTATTGAACTCCCACTGTCTGCTGACACTGTGCTTGTTTGTATGGGGGAGTGGTAAGCATCTACTCTAATTTTGCCTGGTGGTATTTTCAAAATGCATTAGCTCAGGATTCATCTCATGAGTCTGAATTTGAAACCTTAGTCATAATGTGCTTCACTATATATGGTATAGTGTTTTCTTTAGGCAATACATTTTCAACAGATGTGTGATATTTTGAAAAGATTAATGTTTTTCTCCAAAGCAGGATTGGGTCAAGATGAGGCCACTGAGGTAGAAGAAAGTCACCAGAGTCTTAGGTAGGAGGGAACTATCATGATTGCTACCTAGAATAACATTCTAGGTCTGGCCCTGTTGTAATATAGAAGGGTGAGCCGGCCTCGTGTATGGTAGATGCTTGAGAGACACTATTTCATGTAATTCTATTACTAATGGTGTAACTGTTTTGCACCCCAATATTTATTATTCAACACTTACATTCTTGTTTGGGAAAACAGTTTCCGTTCTTATTTCTATCACTAGTGCTTTTTTTTGTCCCAATCATCTCTTCTTCAAATCCCAATTACCCAATGTTCTTTTTTATTTCCTGGCCCACACACTCAGTCCAAAAAGGTCTTACAGGGCTCTCTTCTGAGGTGGTTCTTCTGTCCATGTTTTTTACCCATTCTCCATTTAATTTTTGCTTTTTAACATCTTGCTTCTAGTTGTAGAATTAATTTCCTACCTGATCTCCTTATCTACAAAGTCTCCCCTCTTTCTGCTCCTACTTGTCTATCACTGCCAATTGTATTTTTCCTCTGCTTAGAAACCATCTGTGACTTCATTTGACCTTCAGGATGTAGTTGAAGCTTCTTTGCCTGCATTTAAATCCATCCCAGTTTTTCAACCCCCCACCCCACTGCCCTCCCCCCCACCAAACCCTCACTGCTCATTTTTGTTTGTTTGGTTCAATTGGTTTCATATACATCTTGTCTACTTGGAAGAAGAAAGAGCTTAAGCTCTTTCTTCTTCCCTCAACTATCCTTGTCCTTCTCTTTCCTAATAGAAACCTTACCCATACTTTAAGGCTTTCATCTCTGTCCTCAAACTCTGTTCTTACCAGCTCTCCTCAAGTGCGAACAGGCTGCTGACTCCTGATCTTCCTTGGTACCTTCAATCCCACTCTTAGTCACTTGTCATGAACTATGGCTTATTGGTAACCATGGTTATACCTTAGCCTTAAACTGGTTAAAATTTTTGAGAGCAGGAGCCAGATCTTTTTTTTGTGTGTGTGTGTGTTCCCAGCAGCATATAAACAAGTGATTCTCAACTGTGGCTGCCTATCTTAAGTTACATTATTATTATTATTATTTAAGTAGGCTCCACACCCAGCATGGAGTCCAACATGGGGCTTGAACTCACAACCCTGAGATCAAGACCTGAGTTGAGATTGACAGTCAGTGCCTAACTGATTGAGCCATGCAAACCCCTCCCCCCCGCCTTTTATGTTACTTTAAAGCATAGTAAAACAAGGCAGAAACTGTGAGGTCGGGCCCAGGATTTAGTTAATTGTGGGAGCTCCACTGGTGGTGGCACCATGCAGCAAGGGTGGAGAGCCACTGAGTGAACACAGTGTAAGCAATGAACTATTAATTTTTTAAAGATTTTATTTATTTATTTGACAGAGAGAGACGGTGAGAGAGGGAACACAAGCAGGGGGAGTGGGAGAGGGAGAAGCAGGATTCTCGCTGAGCAGGGAGACCCATGCAGGGCTTGATCCCACATCCTGGGATCATGACCTGAGCTGAAGGCAGATACTTAATGACTGAGCCACCCAGGCTCCCCGCAATGAACTATTCTGACCCGTATGAGTATATGGCCTTTGAGCCCTCTGTGCATATCACTGCATCTCTGCCTGGAGAATTCAAAGCAATGCTTTGTAAGAAAATGATTTATTCGATTAGCAAATATGAATGCCCATTATGTGCCAGGCACTGTTGTAGGTGTCGAGATCACTGTAGTGCACAAAACATGTCCTGTTGTCCTGGAGCGTCTGCCCTTGGCCATGGGAAGCTAGACTAGATGAATAATGTCAGGTAATGATGATAAATGCTGGAGACAAAGCATAATAAGTGGGCCAAGAGAAAAGCAGTATTTTTGAAAAAGGAATATTTTTGAAACTAACCTATGTGCCTCAAATCAGCAAATGCTTTATTTATTTATTTATTTATTTGAGAGAGAGAGTGTGCAGAGCAAGAATGAGAGAGCACAAGCAGGGCCAGGGGCAGAGGGAGAAGCAGATTCCCCACCAAGCAAGGAGCCCAACATGGGGTTGGATCCCAGAACTCTGGGATCATGACCTGGACCGAAGACAGACGTTTAACTGCTGAGCCACCTAGGTGCTCCAAATCAGCAAATGCTTTAAAACACAGCCCAAGAAACAAACCGAGGGTTTTAGAGGGGAGGTGGGGTGGGAGGAAGGGTGAGCCTGGTGGTGGATATTAAGGAGGGCACGGATTGCATGGAGCACTCTGTGTTGTACATAAACAGTGGATATTGGAACACTGCATCAAAAACTAATGATGTATTTTATGGTGACTAACATAACACAATAAAAATTAAAAAAACAAAAACAAAAACCCAGCCTTCTCTGACCGAGGTTTGAGAGCCTGAGCTCTCACGCCAGATAGGCTTGAAGTAGGGACTTTTGCTCTCTGCTGCCCCTGTCCATAAATTGAGGTTAGAGTAGTTCCCCTCACTCCCCAACCCCAGAAGCCAGAGGAACCCGGGAGGTTGGAGCCTGGAGGAGGGTGAGGATCTGAGGATACAGTCCCTTAATGGGGAATAACCAGGTTGGTGTGACCAGGGCACCCAGCTACGAATACTCTCTGGGGTAGTATGTCAGCTCTCAACTGATTACACGTTTTGGTTGTCCCCTCTTGTGATAAAAATTATAATAGGATTATAATCACTGAAAAAAGATGACACACTTCAATAGCCAAAATTTTCTATTTCAAGATTTTTCCCTGTCAGTGAATATTTGTTGTAGCTGTGAAGCAGACGGTGACTGAAATGAGATGTCCGTTTCCCAAACAGGAGACATCATTCATCTCTTTGATAGGTGGAAAATGTGGCAGATACTAGAGTGGAAACAGTGTAAGGAAAAGGAGAGGAGGCTGTATAGGCATTTCTTTCTCTGTGATCCTTTGCTTCAGACACCCCTCCCTGAAGATCCCTTCTTGAGGTGGGTTGCCCCTTGTGATGCCGAATACCTCTTGTTGGAGATGGGGTTGATCAGCTGTGTGTGCGCTCAGGTGTAGCCATGTGAGTCATGGGCACATCATTATTTTCCAAGCCAACACCTCCCTGCCTAAAGGTTATGGGGGAGGTTGAGCTCGCAGAGAAGCTTGACTGTAGGACCGAAATCAACTCTTAAGAAGGAGACAGACCTGCTTGTGTCTTAACCACAGACACCTAACCCGAGCAATGAAATGAAAGATCGTGCATCCCTCAGGCTGCCGGGCGTTTCTGGGGAGAAAAGCAGCTGGTGCATTCAGGATCTCGGTGGAGCCAAGCCCATCACCCGGAGGGTTGGGAATATCGTTTGTAGGGCATGGAGATGTGCTTTCACCATCCTTTTATGCGGTGACTGAATGCAGGGCACATCCCCTTTGCCGGTGTCTTTGTCCCAAGCACAATCAAAGCAGCCCAGGAAACCGAGTTCCGGAGCGCAGTCCCTGGGCCCGCAGAGGGAGCTCACCGGGGGAGAGGGGGGAGGCCCCAGCCCCGCGGTCCCCGCGGCCCCTCCCTGCCCCTGCAGCCCGCCGCGGTGCCCCTGCCAGCCCGGCCTCACGCTGCAGCCGCGCGGGAGGGGCGGGGCGGAGTTGGTGGCGGCAGAGGCTCCCTCCTCGGCGCCCCGGGGACCAGGGCGGGGGTGAGGCGCGGGAGGGGGCGGGGCGGAGCCGGGAGCAGCCGCGGCGGCAGGTCTCCAGGGGGAGCCAAGGTACATAGGCAGGCCCAGTAGGGCCCAGAGCATCCTTTCCAGCCGGTCCCCGCCCTCCAGCCCGCAGCCCGCGTTCGCTGCCTCTCGCCTGGCGTGACTTCTTTGTGTTTTGTTTTCTGCCCGCGCCCCGTCTCTGCAGGACCTGTTCGTCCTTCTTCGGGCTACAAGAAGGCAGAGGATGAGATGTCCCGGGCCACGTCTGTTGGAGACCAGCTGGAGGCACCAGCCCGCACCATTTACCTCAACCAACCGCATCTCAACAAATTCCGTGACAACCAGATCAGGTAGGGGAAGGAGGCGGAGAGACGCAAGGACATTTAATTCACAGCTGGGATGGGGTTCGTCTTCCTCTTGGCAGCTTTTCCACACACCTAGTTAGCCCCCACCCCTCTCTCTTCCTCCAACCCCTTCCTTTCCCCACCCCCTCCACGTCCCCTTAGAGCCTGGCGGTCTCTACCTGCGCTTCCAATGGGGTCATGTGAATACAGCCTTTATCTTTCTCCCCGTGGGATCTGTTCTAGGCTCAGGCTTTCAGTGAGACCTGAGGAAGTTTTTATTCTTGTGTCCCTGACAAAAATGAGGTCTCTTATCTTTTCGTCCCTGGGCTCCCTTCCAAGAATTCCTCCTAGTCCTGTTCTAAGCCAAATGACAGCTCACCTTATCAATTTGCAGACCATAATGTGGGGAAGTGCTTTATAAAGGAATCCCATAGGTCACAAGGACTCGCATTCAGCCCTACCTGGTCCCCAACATTGGTTATGAGGTCTTTATTTGCTGGGAAACTTTGCCTAGAGTTAGCTTTCATCCATCTCTCCGCTAATATTTAAGTGTCTACTTTTTGGCTGGCTACTGTGTTAGATGCTTTATCTGTACTAGATCAGGGAATCCTCGTAACCTCTTGAAGGCATTACCTTCACATCAGGAAACGGAGATAGAAAGATACTAAATAATGTACCTGTGGTGATATAGCTACTGAATAACAGAGCTGCAAGGAGCACCCACCTTCTCTGACGACTATAGCTCAGATTCTTTCTGCTGCGCAAGGCTAGATCTTTAGGCATGGGCGTTGGTACTTTTTCAAATTTCATTAAACTTTCAGACTTAGACAAATTTACGTGAGTGACTTCAGAGGATGTAGTTAAGTTAAATGATCTGGTTACACATGGATTATTGACAAGCTTGAATTCAATCCAGTGTTTCTGGAAAGCTCTGGTTAAATCTTCATTGCATGTTTAAGTATTCCATTACAGCATTGGCACTTACGTGGGATGCTCAGCCTGACATCTGTATTGAAAAGGTTTGGCTGTTGGGCATGATTATAGCTCTATAGAGCTTGTGGTAGAAGAGTGATGCATTTAAATGGAGGTGATACCGTCACTTATTAAGGGAGTGTTAGATTATCCTGGCTTTATTTTTGGTTTTAAGAATGACCGTTGGGACATGTTCTTCACCTCAAAGTGTAGCCTACAAGAGTAGCTGAGGGCCCATTCAAGAAAGAGTGGGCTTGGTTTAAAATACCGAGCATGTGCCACAATGAATTATTACTTCACACACTCACATGGCTCTAATCAAATAGATAACAGGCATTAGGTGTTGGCGAGCATGTGGAGAAATGGAAGCCCTCTGTATACGTTGATGATGGGAACGAATAACGGTGCAGCTGCTTTGGAACACAGTTTGGCAGTTCCCCAAAGGGTAAATGTGTAATTACCACAAGACCTACCTATCCTCCTAGCTATGTCTACCCAAGATCAGAGAAAACCTGTGTGCACACAAACACAGTTACACAAATGATCAGAGCAGCATTATTCACGATAGCCACGAAGTGGAACAACCTAATACCATGTGGTCTGTCCATACGATGGAATACTACCGGCCGTAACAAGGGCCAGAATGGAGATACATGCTACAATAGGGGTGAGACCTAAACATTGTGCTAAATGAAAGAAGCCAGGCACAGAAGGCCTCCTTCTGCTTACAGGAAATGTCTACAAGAGGCAAATCCATTGAGACCTAGATGAGTGACTGTTAGGGCTAGGGAAGTGGGAAAAGGTTGAGAAATGGGAGTGACGGCTTATGTATGTGGGGTTTCATTTTGAGGTGATGATTGCTCAACTCTGTGAACATACTTAAAACTGTCTGGAATCCTTTATTGCTGATACAGTTTCATTTCTTCATTCCTTATATCTATTTCTATTCAATTGCTTTTAAAAACATGGAAAGGTTACTTTATAAAAGATTATATCCTGTCTCTTTTTTCTTTGCTTGATTTTGGGATTTAGGAAATTTATAAATACAGTACTATGCTATATATTTCACTATATGATGGTCTTTGAATAGTAAATGTGTTAGGCTATACACACACACAATATAAGAATGTAGAATTGAATTTTTTTTTCTTTTGAAGAATTTTTTTTAAATTTTAAGATGTTTTTGAGTAGTATTTTTACTTAATTCCTCTTAATTTCTTTGACTTTAGTATCCATTTAAGCATGCTTAAAGTTGGGAAAATAAGGGTCTTTGTTTTGTTTACATTTTCTATTATATGGAAGGTGAAGATTTTTAAGAGCCTGATAATGTGGCTTCATTATTTGTTCTGCAATCCAGGTGCAAAGCTGACTTTTGAGGCTGATTTTATTATCTGATTTTTCAAGTGGCTACCTGTTGTATATTTCCATTTGTACATTTTTGGAATGGGGGGAGGAATAAGTATGCAAATATACAGTGGGGTTGGCTAGGAATAGAGTAGGTAGCTACCAACAATTGTATTTAAAGTCTTGTATAAGAATATAATTGTATTAGTTGAAATATATAATATTAAATATTCATATAGTTTCTGAGTTCATGGCATATACTATGAACATGAGTTTCAGAATACACTGAATAGGGTCTAAGAAATTAAAATGTGGCCCTTGCTATTTTATAAAATGACTTCTGAGTATTTGTTTCATCTCCATTCTATATTTGGGAGAATTACTAGTGGTAACGTGACTTCTAGTTCATTAAGGAACTGATTATAAAACTTCTTAGGTATTAAAGCTTAAGCATTTTACAAAATGTTGAGCCACATTATTTTTGTACTTTAATATTGCTGAAGTCAAGTCTTATAAAAATATTAATTCTTTTAATAACACTTTTTTTTTTGGCCATGAAAATTTGCTGAAAGTTGATAAAACTATTCAAGGGAATATTTTCATAAAAGGGGGTAGATTAAAATTATTTTTTTCTTAATTTTTCTTGAAAAAGGGTTAGTTCTTTCTTTCTTTCTTTCTTTTTTTTTTTTTTTCTGAAGCAGGGGTATGGAGTATTTATCCCAGAGCGTTTGCTTCTAAATCAATTTTTGAAAAGAAGAGACTAACTGGGACAGATCCAGGGGTCAAGGGTACTGATTTTGTTGCTGCTGTACACCTCAGGAAGCTGGTGTTCTTACTGCCTTCCCCACGCTAGGCCCTCTCTGGCTCGGAGCCTTCGATCATGGTCATTGCACAGTGACTGCCTTTATGGGTACCTGGCATTTTGACTTCAGAAAAGGGATTAAAGTTTGCTAAGGAGGGACGTGGTTGTCAGGTACTACGGAAGGTTGGTGAGGGGTTGAATGGTACAATTCAATACAGGCATTGAAAGGCTAGGGTTAATGTTTCAACTAATGTATCCAATAAAGAGGCTGGGCCTGGTGAGTAGGAGTAAGTTGCTGCTGGAGTTGACGGTGGCCTTGGCACCCTTGGGGGAATGCCAGCCATCATAATTCCAAATCTCAAGCAATTCCTTGAAATTCTAGGAGGGTCTGCCCCATGTCAGTAGCTGTCTCTCTAAACCTTGCTCTTGTTCTCGACACTGAAAATAACACCAGTGATTGATTTGAAGCTGTGGTAGGTGTAAGTCAATTTTAGAACATTATTGAAGCCAGTGAATTTGGGTTATTGTAATCATAAAGAAATAGACATGGTCTTTTTCTCTTAAGCACTGGTTTTTCTAGGGCCTTAATTATGAAGACAATCACCCCCTTCTTCATCCTCTAGAAATAAGAAGTTATTAATGGAATATTATAATGTACATATGTATATATATGTAGTATTGGGTATATGTCCACCTAACTGGTGGGGATCTTTTTTGTGGTGTACAATCTCCTCTTAAATATTTTTAATAGTTTTATTGAGATATACTTTATATACTGGATAATCCATCTACCTAAAGTATACAATTTAACGTTTTTTAGAATATTCAGAATTGTACAACCATCACCACAGTCAATTTTAGAACATTCTAATCACTTCCAGAAGAAATCCCATACCCTTTAGCTGCCCTCTTCCTACCTCTTCTTCCTCCAGCCCTGAGCAACCACTCGTTTCCTTCCTATCTCTATAGATTTCCCTGTTCCGGACATTTCATATGAATGATATCATTTCCTCTTTAGTGTTTTAACTTAAATATTAAATGCTTGTGGAAAGCTTGCTATTTAGAGCAACCTGGTGGTGAATCTTTAATTTTTACATCTAAATTTAAAAAAATGTTTAAAGTCAAAAATTTTTTTTTCCAGAAAATATCTTGAAATTTACTGATCAAAGCATGAACAAATGGATTCAATCAAGATCAGGTGTATGCAATCTTTTTATGTGATTATCAGTATGCCATTTGGAATAGTGAGTTTCAAGGCTATGAGGCAGTTTGAAATGAGGTCTTCAAAGCAAGTTGGGAAAGTTTGCAGATACTGTTTTGAATGAGTCATTTCAGATGGGAGTTCTAGCTAACAAAAATCTTCATTAAACCAATAACTTGGGCTTTGTCAAGCTATTGCATTTCTTCTGGGTTTGTTTTAAAGGAAAATTGTTTAATATTGTTTTTGCTAAGATAAGTTTTAAATAGAATTTTTACCTTTCTAGAAAAAGAAATTGAGCACTGTATGGTAGGTTTGACAGTTTTGAAGTTTTGCAGTATTGTGCTGGGATCCTAATGACTGAGGGGGCACGTTTGTCTTAAGGAATGAAGGGCACAAAATCTTCAGATGCCAGCTTGTGCATGAATAGTGGTGGTAGATGACATATATTGTTCTAGGTCTAATATTACTGAATGCTGAAAGGATGCATGATTCTCTTCCAAAGTCTGAGGAATTTAGGTAGCATCTGGTTGTAGTACATAGGCTGCTTAAAACTCAATAAAGAATACCAAGGTCCTGGTAAGAATCATAATGTCCCTTTGATGGGTGATGGTTTGAACAACCAAAGTTTACATATCTGAGACAGCTATTTCTGTCAAGGTTGGCAAAGGTAAAATACATAAAAATCCT